TATACCTCATTCATAGATTGTCATTCACTGATTGGTCAAAACTATATCACATGTCATAAGAATAAGAATGTAAAAGTATTAGTACATGCTTCGCCTCGGGGATGATAGAAGGGCCGGTGTGAACACCACCTTGGGAGTGATAGTTCCCACCATCATCCTCATGAGCAGTCAATATTTGTATACTGTATTCAAAACAAAGCGTTTCCAATATTACCTAAATTTACCAGGGCTTAGGGATTAAATCGATATTTAACACGTATCAGAATGCCTCGAAATAATCATATTATTCCATATCTCTATATAGCTACTGAGTCCCAAATGAGCTGACGGATATCTAGATTATTATCTCAGTTGTCGCAAGTTCTCAATATCTATGACCTTTTAATTCCACACTCCTGGAGGTGCTAGTATAGTTCTGACGTACTTTGTTTCAATACGGAATTCACCGGCCGAAAGTGTACACAAATTGTTCAAAATACGAATGACTAATAATTTTATATTTAATCAATGGTCCTTTTTCCACTATAGACCTCCTTGACCAAATCATATCACGTTTATTTTTTACCTTATTGCAAGATAAATATATATTAATATTATAACTGTTAAAAACTGAACATTTTCTCAGCTTTGCAACACATTGTATTGATTGATAATGTGCATGTAATAACAATAGCCAAAGTAACAACTATAACATCAACACCATCAGCACTAATGATATTGATATTATTACTACTATACTAATATACTACTACTACTACTACTACTACTACTACTACTACTACTACTATTTCTACTATACTATACTACTTATATTTATACTACTGCTACTACTACTACTAATAGTGATACTACTACTACTACTACTACTACTACTACTACTACTACTACTATTACTACTACTGAAGCTGCTACTGAAACTACTACTATTACTATTATTACTACTTTTACTACTACTACTACTACTACTACTACTAATTCTACTTTACTACTACTTATACTTATACTACTACTACTATTACTACTACTCCTACATTATTATTACTACTACTACTGCTACTACTTTTGATACTAATATTGATACTATTACTACTACTAATACTGCTATACATTACTACTACTATTACTATACTACTACTTCTATTATGATTACTATTAATTATACTACTAATACTTTTACATTAGTATTACTACTAGTATTACTATTACTACTACTTCTATTGATACTACTACTAATAGTGATACTACTACTACTACTACTACTACTACTACTACTACTACTACTATTACTACTACTACTACTACTACTACTACTACTACTATTACTACTACTTATAATAACAATAATAATTATACTAGCAAATATGCCGTGTTTATCGATGATATAATTACAATCAGATGCCCATACCAAATGTGTAAAACTACTTTAATTCAAAGAATATATTTGTTAAAGGTGTACAATGTATTTTGGTATTTGAAAAGACATTACTTTTATTATGATGGGGACTTCCTTTTATAGCAAAATCAATGTGGACTTTTATTTCAACGTTAAAATTATAAGCCTTTAAGACGTTAGGCATTCTATAAGACGTCTAATTATAGTTGGCATCAAAACGAAATTTCCGAATTTCAACAAGTGAAGAAAAAAAACATGAACACATTTACGAGTACAATTTACTATTTTAAATATATCATTTACACAGTTGTATAATAATGTTCTATCTAAATTGAATTGAACCAGTGCCCCGTTGCACAAAACTTTGATGTGATTGACTGTTGAGCCCTGTTACCATGGTAGTTGCCATTGATGGCAAAGTTACCATAAATGGTAAGTTTTATGCATCGGGGCCCAGGAAGAAAATTACATTGGCAAGCTGATACTGTAATAATATGAACTCTAAGCACGAGGAAGAATTATTGTTCCTATAGAAAAGTTTTGATACAAGTGAATGATTCTGAAAAGAATTCTTGGCGCAAATCACAGGGCTTTAGAATGACTGGAACATAACACGCAAGCGAGTGTATAGAGAACACATACCAAACAAAGCGCAACGGTATATAATACGACTAGAATTCACTTTACATTGTAACATGGATCAAAACGAAACATAAATAAACAGCCATATAAATTAACTTGGGATGTGCTGATCAATACTTTGTTCGATAAGGTACGATAAGGTATAAGATACATAATTTCTTCACATACTAATAAGAGACCAGCACTCATTGTTCATAAGGCAATCTATACTGATTCTTTAAAGTTTTACAGCATATATTATAATTTGCTTTTAGTCATCAAATATTGGTTAAATACCCTCTTCGCTGTGAGCTACTTCTGAACCATTGTTTTATTAAAATTATATTATTTTGATTCCTGACTGAATTTTCGTGCAATTATGTAATACACGCAATTCCAACTATTTTTTTGTCTTGTGAATTTCCTTTCAAATAATTATTCACTTTCATCTAAATGTTAACGTTTTTTATAATTAAATTTTGCCAATATCATAATGTGATCATAATTTATGAAAGCGTGTATTCATATTTCCTTTCTTGAGTAAAATTGATCAAAATAGTTAAATTAAATTTATAGTAGTGAAGATACCTAGAACGTTTTTGTTTACTCCTGCAGCTACTACCTCCAAATAGAAATAATGTTTTAACTTCACATTTCTAAAGATAAATAAAATGATGTTCTTTTTTATATATTTTTCATTGCTAGTTTGTATACTTACTGTTATGGAAGAAAACAAACTTAATTCTGTCATCACAGGGACGACTTTAAAAGCCAATATAATGCCAAATCTTCCTTCCATTCATAGCTTTTTAATTAAGTTCACAGTTTATTAATAATTTATTAAAATGAATTTACTTATAAGTTATAATTCCTGTTTATAATACATAAACCCAAACCATGATCATTTGCCGTAACACCGGTGTTTTTTTTTTCTGTTAATATAATTATTTTACTTAGATTAAACCCTTATTTTAAATCAAAGTACTTTAGGCAGTTCGAGTAAATACATGAATTTAAATTATTTCAGATCATTAATTAATCTAATAAGAAATGGGTATATCATGCTCTAAACTTGTCCCTGTTTCAACAATGACAACAACAACAACAACAGCGATAATAATATGAAGAATAATGATAATGCCGTAACGATGATCATTATGATAATGAAGATGATGATGATGATGATGATGATATAGTAAAAAGAAGAAGAGGAGGAAGAAGAAACAGAATAAGATTTGTTTCTCTGATAGAGCGCTATTGCGTACATTGTGATAACCTAAAAAAAACACAATATATTTATAGGCAAATAAAGTTATCAGTAATAATAATAATAGCAATGATGATAATGACAATGATATAAACACAAATAATAAACACAGATATATCATCGTTTTTGTCTTTATTCAAACAACCCTCTTTACGGTTTTCGATTAATTCTTATAAATTATCATCAGTAAAACTATTTTTATTGGAAAAAGACACAGTTGTTCGTTTGCAATTTACCTAATGTAGGCTGTAAAGAAAAATTAAATGTTCATTCAAACCTTTTATAAAGTTGCTTTGGTATAATGCAAAATTCATCTCATTGTTTTCAAGAACGAAAATTATAATTGACGGTTATTATTGTCCAAAAACCTACGTCAGAGTAAAAAAAGTCTTTCTGAAACATAATTCCAGAAAAAGAAAAAGAAGTATTATTTCCCTCTTAAAAGATCAAAGACAAGTCATGACACATTACAGTGATTCAGGAAATAATGTTTAATTCTGTATATTCGTAGTTTAATCGTCAACATTTTTTTTCAATGCCCATTAAAATGAACTTTAGTCGTTACACATTCGTCGATTATCTATTAAAAAAAAAACGTTATGGTTCCATATTCATTCATAATAAAACAAAATGGGGCAAACTAATCGTACATCCCATTTTAATTCTAACAATTAAAATGAAAAAGGAACTCTTTTTAAAATACCGTTATATCTTTTGACATTTTATCAAGCAAGATCAAATTCAAATAATTTGTAAAAACACTATCATATTGCCTAGGCCTTTAAGATTTGTCTCTATGACTGACATCATTATTTTAAAACTGGTTTAGTATTGAGCCCTTTGAATAATATTATAATCTTTAACTTCTAACAGAAAAGCTGTTGATTTATTCTTAACGAATCAGTTTTTCTTTCCATCACCCGGCGTCAAGGCTTATAGTTTAATTTTTGATTTGATTTGCGAGGCCATCTTATTAATAATTGACTACATAGGCCTGTATGGGTGACTGGCAACGATCTATTTTTTCATTATCATCAACCTTCGGGATTTATTTTAGAATGTTGATGTCTTTATATTTCTTAGAAGATAAGTCTGAAATTAAACGATATAATAATCGAAACTTCGATAGTTTTATTATTACCTACCACATTTTACTATCTGAGATTCGGGCTCATTATTATCATGGCTTTCCAATTTACGACCAGTAGCCTATCCTGTTAACCTATAAATTTAGTTAATTATAATCACATTACTTTAATTGCTTCATATAAATCTCCTGAGTCTTTCCAAGAAAGAATTTATATACCATGCATATAGGCTTGAGTTTTGTATTTATCGGCTTTGAATTTTCATTTGACATGACAATCTTGCAATACTTTGCAATGCGTGGATCAAACTTATACTGCAAACGCATGCAAAATATGTGTATGTTATGTCTACGACATAATATTACGAAGGCAGAAGATCTATTGCATGTAGAGAATGATAGTATATATCCGAATATTAACTAATGTAGAATTACCACCGTTTTTTGTTGCTGTCTGTACACGTCGCTTTGCTTTGTAAATGCCCTTTAGGACGTGACGTCAGACCAGTGTTTATTATGGGATATGCTTATGAGCGACATACGACACACACCGCGTGTTGTCTCTATTGAAAGAGCGAAGGAAAAAATGTGTGGTATATTGTGTGTGTATTGAACTGGTCGACCATGTGAGAGCTCGAGCAGGCGATATTATTATACAGAAAAAGAGGCATGAGACTCAGCGCCAAGAACTCCGCATTCGATTGTACTGCAATTGTGTGTGTTCTACGGAGTTCCGTGTTATAAAAACCCCAGAGCCCAAAGCATTGAGACGTATGAAGCTTATTGTAATTACATAGAACTCTATTACGACCACGGAAAGGCTCTGTCGAAGATTTTTAGTCCAAGAACTGCCTGCGGCTCGCTTGTGTGGACACCTGGAGCTCCCCACGAACGAACACGGTCGAATCAGACTTCGTAGATCACGACTGGGTAGTTCCCGAAGCGATGGAAGAAGACGAACAAGCAGAGAGTGACCAGCAAGTTTTCGCAGCTGAAGAGTTAAAACAGAAGCGGACGAGAAAGGTAGTTAAAAACCAAAGGCTCCATAATCTTTGTAACTAGGTTCACTGCATCTCTATTAAATTTCACCAACTGTCAAAGTTTCATGTTTCACTTTGGATCTAGAGCTAAATCATTAGGCCTATTCGTGAATCAGTTTGGTTGTGCTTTACTCGAGAAGAGATTCCAAAAGTTTAACCACTTTCTTTCTATATTTTTTCACAGGGAAGAGTCGAGTACTTGGTTAAATGGAAAGGATGGACCCCAAAGTAAGTATACAATTTGTAAAACTTCAAGTTCCGAAAAATTTCTCATGCTGTATTTTCTGATCTTTCAGTCAGCCAAGATGGGCTACTCACGTTAATAAATTTATACTTAATACTTCTATATAATATCGGGTTTTCTCGCTGTGTTTAATGATGATGTTTTATTTTCTTCTCCTTTTCAGACACAATACTTGGGAGCCAGAAGAAAACATCTTAGATGACCGACTTGTTCGCCTTTTCGAATCCAGGTTCGTAGGCATTTAACTTGCTTCGAAGACCATGTTTTGTTTATTTGAAATAATTGTTTATAGACAGAAACTGGAACGATATGTTAAGTCATAATATGTTTTTTTGTTTATTTTTAATTAAAAACGAAATCCCTGCTACCAACTCTTTAGATACAACTATAATATTGGCGGAGAAGAAAACTTTGACCAAAAGTTTAATCATTGACGATCACGTTTTTAGCAAAGTTAAGTCCTCTTCATAACTTCTGTTTCTTGCCGATGATTATTCTTCACCTTGTCAGTTTTTACCCATAGGCCTATTCATAATTATCGAGGCCTATAAATTTGCTGTGTAAATGTTACACGATGTTTTTTGTTTCATTTGTTAGTTTTAGGCCTAATAGTCATCAATAATTGTATGATGTTAGTAAAAATGACGTTATATAGAATGATGAAAGCTTCATTATTAAAAAAAGAATCTATTCGTTGTTTTGTTTAAAAAAACGGAAAAAATTGGGTTTTAATAGTTTTAACAAAAAAATTAATTGCCTGTCTTCACCATGTGACTCAAAATTAGAGGATTTTATTTTGAAGAATACAATTATAATTTCTCTGATTATGTCAATTTTCATGAATAAAGGCCCAAATGATTTATTCTATTTTATTACAGACTTGAAAAGAAAACATCGCCGCAACAAGCGTCAAAACCAGGTAGAAAACCTGGAAGAAGAAAGGTGAGTCATAATTTTGTTTAATGCGCTTTGATTTAATTATTTAAATAACTTAAAACGTCTTTAGAATAAAAGGTAAAGATATACTTTCATGAGTTTGAAAATAACCCATAAATAAATGGAGGAAAAGCATTTTGATGACGATGTTAAGAATATCTGCATGGGTTTGCTGATTCTGTAAATCTCGTTTGATTCGTTGGATTTTCTAAATATTATTGTTTTATTATTATAAGTGATGAATTTTGTTCTGAACTTGAAGGAATGATGTGTGCTAAGTTTTCTCCAACGTTACATTTTTATGTTCAGTGTAAGAAAAGTTTGGTTGTGCAGAGAAAAAAATGAATATACAGAAGCTTATTTGAAAAATTGAAAATGCGCGTATTCAATTTGTTTCTCTTATTTATTTTTTTCTTCTTGTTTTTGTTGGTGTTCTGTGTCAGGGCAGTGGTATTTAGTTTATTTTGCTATGTGATACTGATTAAATAAGAAATGATTTATTGCAAGATTGACCTCGTTTTGATAGATTTTTTATCCTAACTGCTTAACGAACATTATGTTTGTATATCACAGCTTTTCCAATTTTTCGAAATATAATCACAATCTTTAATCATCCATATTTCCTAAACTAATTCGAAGAGAGGCAAATTAGCATATTATATTGCATTTTGCTATGTATAAAGACAGTTTCGTGGATTTCAGAGGGATCTGATATTATTTACTAGGAAAACTGAACTTAATTGTAGACCTTATCATCATCTGTTGCGATGTCTGTGAATGAATGTGCGAGAGAAAATGCGTTTGATCGTCACAAGTCTTTTTTTTTTTTTTTTTTTGAAATTATAGAAAAACATATATAGCACAAAATGTACATTAATATACCCAGTAAAATACCCTTTAGCTACCTGAAGGGATGGGGCAGGTGCCCCCTCCAACCCCCAATATAATGGCGAACGGGGGCGGGGAGGGGGCGGGAAAAAAAGAAAGACACGGAAAGGGGAAAAGGAAAAATGAAAAAAGCTGAAGGATCCTTCTGACCCCCTCCCCAATGCCCTTAATATAAATAGTTAGCATTTCATTTATTAGTGAGACCGCCCCCCCCCCCCCTATATCTGGTTTTACGCTACGCCACTTGTCCGACACCATCAATATATTTAATTTTCCGCAATGGCAATCATGCATACAATATGTCTACGATTTGAAAAATGTTGGTGTTGGACTATTATATAGTATATTTAAGTTTATTTTGATTCTATACTATACCAGAATATAAATAAATCCTGCATAATATAACAAGAGCGTCATTCCCACATAAAGTTGTGCTAGATTGAGCTGTATGACTATGAAGACTGTACAAAAATAGACGCTCTCCCCGTAGGAATATGAAATCAAATGACTTGTTAACGTTTTATGAAACTACTATTTATACCGTCCGAACCATCACATAATTAACTACCTTGATATCACAATTGAATTCTTACTTCTTCAAAGATGATTTTTGATGGTCATTAAAACTGCATTTCATCATAATTTAAACTACATTTCTGTTCTTTGTCATAACTTGCTTTCATTTATCCATAATAATTGATGTTGATAAGCGTCACGATTAATCTTGTTCTTATTTTGATATTTCTTTAGTTCATGAATTAGTTGTTATCTGTAATTTCGTTTTTTATTATTGTAAGCGCATTAATATTTTCTCCGAAAAGGAAAATAATGCGCTATATATAGAAACCTATAGCTATAGAAACCTATAGGTAATTCATTATTATTAGGCCTACAGGTATATATTATACCGAAGTCATAGATCCATGTTCGTTTACATACTTTCCCCTTAATTTATCAGTACAATTACAAGAAGCATTCTTCTTCTGAAGCTGAATAAAAATAAAAACTAGAAATAGGTGATGGCCCCTCTAGAATTGACCATGAGGGAATTGCTTGTTGACTGAAAATAGATTAGTTTCCTGTGTGCATTCCAATTTCTACATTTTGCACTTGTTTACTACAACCATGTATACATTTTGCAAAGAAAAAATGAAGAGTACAATTATAATTATGGTGAAATTCAGTTGTAGTTTAAAATCGTTTGCATCTGTTATAAAGTCTTTTTTGTTTTTTCTCACAAGGATTTATTAAAAGAAAATAATATGCTCCTGAAACGTATGACATTAATGGACAGAATTGTTAAGAAAAAGAATTAAAAAAAAACGTTTATTCAAACTAATGGACGTTCTTTCATCATTTTTGTTTGCAGGGACAAGACATTTCGCTATAAAAGAAAATGAAAAAATAGAAATAGAAAATAATTTTAAAAGTTTTTATTCATGTAAGCCTATATATTGACTTATTACTTTGATTAATTATTATTTATTTTTGCTTCTAGTTCTTTTGCAAAATGATAATATGCATGTTGCATGATAAACAATTTGAAGTGCAAGAAAAGACTACATGTCAGACGGAAGGAGTTTATCATAGTTTTTTTTCTTCATAATATTATATACATCGAGAATAAGAAAAATATTAATGTTAAATCTACCGTGAACGATGTTTTCTTAATTCCTTTTGCTTGTATTTTAACATGTTACCAATGATTATAAAAAAAGTTATGAACTGATATAGTTTATATTACCTTTTTGAAATGACTTTTAAAGTGAACCATTTTGGTTGTTTTATTAGGAAACGATATGTTTGATTTTCTTGGGGGGGGGGGGTTGCTCCAGTTTAGATTTAGCCGCTAAACACTACTAGAGTCCAGGAAATTATATTTCACTGAATCAATATCAATGATTACGCAGTTTCCTTATTTTCATGGATACAACAACAAATATATCAATTTATATAAAGCAGCTACTATAATAAATATACTCAACTGCGCTGTGATGAAACAAAATTTAAATGTCAGGTTCGGAGATTCATGATGAGTACGACAGACGGTATTGAGGATTTCATAAAAAAGGAGCAATTCTAATTTAAATAATATTGTACACAGAATCGGGAAGGGTGAATAAAATATAAAAATGCAATCCAACGGGAAAAATTTACTTACGCCATCCCTGGACATAATTATAGACAAACCCATACGGTGTGTGATATTCCAAAGCTCAACACCAATTGATAAAATTCCGCAGATTTCGATGTAATACCTTCATGCGGTAATAATTGAACAGTAATTATCGGAATTAAGTTTACATGTACAATGTCAGTGTCGAAGAATAAAGAGAAAAGCCTCTTGAATACACACGTTGATTAATTACGTTACGAACTCGATTTATAATTCGTCCGACATGCACATAAATAAATGAAGCAAAACGAAAAAGTAAATAATTTGAAGCAAATTCGTCCATGACATGCACATAAATCATTTTAGCAACATGAAAAGTAAATATTTTGAGTCCAATGCAGTCACTACTTCTCATATTTTTCAACCTTATCTACACAACAAGGAACATTTTTTACCAACATTTTGAAGCACCCGAGTCGAACGCGAAAGTAGTTAAAATAATAGCCTTGTCATCGCGAGGCTTCGAGCGCACTCAAACTTATTGACCTTTTGACTTATAACACGTTCCCGTGTACTTAGTTTTTTGTTACTCGGAAACGGTAGTTGATCAATAATTGATTCAGTATAATTAATGTTCATATCATATGTAATTTATGGATTAGTCAGATTCGTTATCTTCGATTATCTCAACATGTGATTGACATTTTGAGTACTGTTTTATTTTGCTATGTAATTCAGTACTTTTCATTATACGAGGACACATTCGTGCTAGGCTATAGACAGTATTATGCGTGATCTATTGAAATACGTGTGTATTGGCGGGATATTGATAGACCTATAATTCTGATTACGTGATTCAGTATTACTCACCATACAATTGAAGCCAGTACATTATCAAATTGCACTGTAACTTTGTTATCACAATATATGTGTATGATATTGTCCGTCATGCCTGTTGCCTATTATTATTATAGGCAAAGAAGAGGAGGGGGGGGGGACTTGGATAAATATGATGTGATCGGGAGTTCATTTCCCAAGGTTTTACATCAATGTTGACTCGAAATCCATCTTTTCTCTTTTCTTTTTTCCATTTCATTTTATTATTGATTGCCCAGACTATAATATATAGCCTATACAAGTCATGTAGTCATTGTCACTGTGAGTTGAAAATGCACAATTCTATTTCGCAGAAGTTTTAAAAGTTGATTTCACGATTAATGTGAAAGAAGAATACTTCTTCGTTTAGGCTTATTACCATGTTACATTTTACTAAAGAGTATATCCCTCCCCTTTTATAAAGCTACGTGTAGTCATTGTGTACAGTAAATTAATCATTTTGGTCTAATTTCACATGAGCTTCATTTTAACTCTTGATTTGTTTGATCTTCCTACTCCGTTCCTTTTGTTGTTGTTGCCAATATCACAAGTCATGTTCACCGTATGGCCCTGTCATTACCGTGTTGTAACTTTAGACATGGATGGTTCTATGATAAGAGAGAGATAGAGAGGGGGTGGGTGTGGTAGAGAGAGAGAGGGAGGTAGATCGATAGATAGATAGATAGATAGACAGACAGATATATAGATAGATAGATACATAGAGAGAAAGGGTGGTGGAGAGAGATAGAGAGGGGATGTTTTGGAGAGAGAAAAGAGAGAGAGAGACAGGGGGAGAGAGAGAGAAGTGCATGGAGAGAGGAAGAGAATGAGTAAATTGCGTGGTAAAAACAGTTTTACTAATGCGATAATCAAAAACGATTGGCATACCATTAACAGATTTCAAGGCGAGTGTATTTGATGTATTATGGTAAACATAATTATTCAAACAATGAGCAAACGATATTATTGTGTGGAATTATAATTGACGTAGAGTTGGTCCTGCTATGTTAAGCTGCCATTAGCATCAAGAATTAAGAGGGGGAGCCTGGGAGGGGTAATTTGCTCGATGGGTGAAATACTAACAAGGCAACCGATTGGGATGAAAGTGTATTTATTAGTTTAGTGCATATAACGTCTTTGTGACTAATATTGTTAACCATCTCAAAAGAGAAAAAATGCAATTAAATAACTAACTAATTAACTAAAGTTCACCAACAAATAAACAATGAATTAATTAATGAATACACAAACGAATAATCAATTAAATGTGTTTGCAATTATGTATAATAAATTCAACATTACAGAATAGGATGAACTTGATTTTTGGAAGGATCAAATCATGTTTATGAAGTCTTGGTTGATTGCTTTTATTTACATTACATGAAGAATAAAAATCCTAATACAACTTGCGAAACTTCAACATTTTTTTAAAAGCGATATGGAGTTAAATAATCCGGAACCATAAATGAATGTTCTGGAAATCCTTAAATACGATTACCACGACATTTTCAATTAACATAAATAAGTAGAGGGTGTGATATCGAGATAGTGACTTTCACAATGATTAATGACAAAATAATGTACATGAACAGAGTTGAGACAAGACCACTTTTGTTAGCACGTTTCTTTTATTATTACTATTCTAATTATTATCATTTTATCACAAACTCGATCGCAATAATTTTCGAAAAAATCGACTCGGGGGAGGGGGGGGGGGCAAGTTTGATAGAGTACCGAAGAGCTAACGTCATATTCGCTTGTCGTCCAGGTTACTGGTTCTAAACAACAGTGCCTGCGCATGAGGTTCACCGCGAAATGCTTCAAGCAACTTTTTATTTTAGAGTTTTTCGTACGTAGTTGCAGTCGTGCTCACAGCGCGTAGACTATGTCTTGGATTACCAACAAAAAACGAGAGAAATAGAAAATCCAATTGAGCTGCTTGGAATCATAAACGAGACTATGAGGCCGGACAATAGAGACCCGAATTCACAAAGAAAGTTTTCGACAAACCTTGGTTCGAAACGCGTCGAAACGCGTCATATGACGCACATAAACCTAGGTTTGTCGACAAACCTCCTTTGTGAATTCGGGCCAGAATGGGCGTCCCCCCCCCCCCATGTTTTCCGATATATTTCCATCATATTTCTGTGAAGATGATTCGGCATTATTCCGTCAAAAATATAGGGTTAGGGTTGAGATCTGTTATTGAGTGGTGGGTTAAATAGGTTTCGAGCTAGAATTCGGTTAAGGTACATATTTGTTTCCAGGACTGAAGATAGGAACTCGCCTTGTGTAGAAAATTGACTGCGGAGCATGTGTTGTTCGTTCAACGATTTAAAAAACCTTGTTCTGCAGTTTAGTACTGATTGTCCTTAGAATTAGATGAATATACATGTATAACTGTTTTATTTCTTGTATTCCTATACATTTTTCACCATACAGTCAACCACCGACGTCGTCCAAGTTCTCAGCGTACCCAAATCACCCGGACGACCACCGGGACGCCCTCTGGGAAGACCTCCGTTGTTTCGCCCGCGAGGACGTGGTCGTGGGCGCGGACGTGGGCGAGGTAGAGGTCGCGGTCGCGGCAGTGCCATCGTTATCGGCGGCGGTACTCGTATCAGCACCCTGGGCCGCGGTCGAGGCCGAGGACGAGGTGGGCCGAGGGGACGCGGGCGTGGTCGAGGCATGAGCCATCTGAAGAGAACAGAGAGTCTACCCGAAGGCATCACGTCGTTCCCCGTGGTCGGGCAGAGTCCCAGGGTCGACGTCAATTCAAACTCGACACCGTTCTTCTTCAAAGACGATATGATGAACTCGAGTAACAATGAGGATGGGGATGATGAGGATGATGATGATGAGGATGAAATGGATGATGATGAGGATGACGACATCAGTGAGGAGTATCCCCGTTTTGATGCGATAGGCGAAACTGAAGAAGAAATTGGTAACGCCGAATCTCCCAATGTCGATGTTGAAGCAGAAGACATTAGTTCTTCGGTTGCGACGCCGCAAGAGGTGTCCGCAAGCGAGGATTTCGTTCCAGCAGCGCAACCTCCTCCCAAAAAGATGGCCCGGAAAGGACCAAAAGAATCCACGAAAGCCTCAACCGCTGGTAAAAAACCGAAAGAAGTTAAACGTGATTTTGAACACATTTTGAGCGAATTTGCCGCAAAGCCTAGCCCGCCCCCACTGCCACGGTCAGCCAGCCTGTGGAGGCCCATGCAGTCGCTGTTGCCTGCAGGAGAAGTCCTCATAACGGACGTTACCGCTTCGGATGTGACCATTACGGTCAGGGAATGCTGCACTAGCCGGGGCTTCTTCAAGGAGCAGAAACAGAAGGTCGAACGCACATCCACCATCGATGAGGTCAAATCGGGGAAGGCAATGACGACTTCGCTGCCAGTCTCGACTACGACGAAGAAAAAGAACGTCGACTGTGAAGTTACCAACTCGACGAATAAACCAGACTCGGAAACGAGGATGGATGTGGACGTTACATTGGAGAGCAATGCCCAATCAGAGGCCGATACGTCATCACTTATAAAGTCCGCCTCGTAGATTTCACCGATCTAAAGACTATGAATTATACGGAGGAGCGGATGCGGATTTACCCGAAGAACACCAGTAATTTTTGAGGAGGAAAATAGTTTTGAATGATACGAAAGAAGTGCCATAGATGATTCAATGGAGATGCTGCTTATAAATACGTTACGCAGTTTAGTCATTATTTGCCTGATTCAAAGGATATCCAGCGATTTTTGATTAAAGTTTATCAACGTGATTAAATTTTCCTACATTGTGTTGGAGCGAAGCATAAAATGAAATGTATATAATTATATGAAACGGATATTTTTGCACTAATGAGTTTACCCAACTGATCTCGAGAAAATAAGAGAAAGTGGAAGTGTTAAACTGTTAATAAAGCTTGAAGAATAGCATTTGCTTTACGAAAGATATTATAAGTCATTATAAAGTCATGTTTAGTCGTAAATCCTATATGATCCATTTCTTTGTGAAAAATTTGTGCTTTGCCATAATGTGACCGGTAAACAATAGAAATTAAGATTCTGAAGATTGAATGATTTATAATTACTTCTTTATAAAATATTATCTGGACATGTAATATGAATTTTGTGCACAAAGTATGCACGTAATGACATGTACGTAGTACGAACGGTGTTCAAGTATAAAATTATATAAATTCATAACGTGAATTGTATAGCATGGAATATTTAATTTTGTTAATTGTATTATTCACAGTGATTTCCTTACTGATTTTGTGTCCGTTTGTAATGAATAAGATTCCTGAACTGTTGCAGAAGAAGGCAATATTCTATTTTGACAAAATATTTCAAGAAATTGAATACTAAGAAGATGTTTTCTGATATGCCATAGTCGTACAATGACAAGAAACACTATTTTTATATTCGAATTTCTGACCATTTGAACGAACCGAATTTTATCGCGGATAAGATTCTACCACAAAAGAAGGGGACTGGTATCAGTGAAAGGTTATCTCAAAGATAACGTTATTGTATTGATTTTGTTTTTAACATGGTAATGAATACAAATAGCTGATTATGGCCTCATTTTTCAAAGCTAGTATTTTGACATTAATTCGTCCATGATTTCAAACGGAAGAATTGAAGTTAATCATAGAAAAACAAGGCTATCGCTCAACTATGTCCTCACTTAAAGAGAAGGCTGAGTTCTGGGAAGAGGTGACAATTTTTGGGGGGGGCGTTATCATTGTTATTATGCAAGTGTGGAAGAACATCATAGAAAAATATGTTCCCTGAAAAGCATGGCTCTTTAAATGCCTCAATATTATAAATATGACAACAATTTTCTGATCGATCCCACACCGTTTTTTTCACAATGCAATCGCGTGGTTCGATCCCCGATACGGCACTAATGTCCACTAATGACCCAGGTGAGGTAAATGGGTACCTGGCAGGAATTAATTCCTTGAAATGCTAGAGCGCTGTAATGGCAGCTAGACTAAAGCCGGGGTTATAATAAATGAGGAATAGAATTTCTAGATAGACGGCGCGATAGAAATGCCTTTTATTATTATTTATTATTATTATGACCAGAACTCAACTTTATCTTTAAAGCTCTCCACACTGAAATACCATAGAGGTCCGTCAATATAGATGTTCGTTGGTTATAGGCATAATGCCTACGCCCCATTATCCGGTCTGAATATCTTTTGATTTCCCATCGATTAAAATGGATTATTAAGTAAAGTCGTCATTTATCGTCATTTCTATATATAATCGTACAAAGAAAGTAAAACGGAATTACAGTCGCGTTTTTTCCTTTGAATGTTCACACTCTCATAATAAATGGAATTAATGGAATTCCTTGTTCCTCTTCGCGGAAGGGATAAAGGAACATGACGTTGCTTTTAAAGTTTCTCATGAGATGATTCTTCGACATGCCGCTAGTAAAGCATATAATTTTTTTTCTCAATTTTTTTAATCCACAGATATTACATAGCAACGGTTTTTTTTTTAATAACGTGGGGGCGGGGGCGGTGTATATTACTGACAGCGGTGAAAGAGTGTAGTGCTTATACATTAAATCTAACGTTTGTGTATGCATGGACTGTTTAACTCCCGACATTGATATATGTTACGCAATAGTCAGAGTCGTACACACTTATGTTTGACGATCTAACCTTATTTCATCACTGTTAAACATTCTAAGAGCATTAACATAATTCAAACATTTGTGACACACGATCGCAACGATTTTCGAGAAACAAATTCAAGGCCAATTTCAATTGTACCATGTAATTGTTTATCTTATGAAAATCATGTTCAGATTACATAATACAGCATTGTAATGTTTGCACATCTCAATTGGTGATGGCCGAGGCTATCGAAATAGACCATTTTCGTAATGCAATCAAAATATAATAATAATAATAATAATAATAATAATAATGACAAATAGTGGGTTCTTGTATAGCGCTCATGTCTATCATACGTGACACTCCTGGCGCTCCCAATCTTTGTCTAGTGCCATGTTACAAATTATTTCATTTATTTGTTACACATACATGTTATTGTATGTCGATAGTAATGTAATTTGCTCATTAATTGTTGCTAGGTATGAAAAACATTATGGCATGCCCTACCTAACCACACGAAATGTATGCAATGCGCATTCTGACTATTACAATGCAATTACAAACACAATACAAATGTTCGTAACAGATGAGTGAAATAATTCGTATCGAGACACTTCAAAAAGGCATGCATAGACTATTTCGTTACATTACGAAATGGCTTTTTGCCTCCGGTTGGTTTTTCGAAAGTCTTTTCGATTTTCTATCCCTTGACTTGAGTTTAACTAGACCCGTTAGTCAGGATTGTGCTCCATGCGTTTACATTTTACTCGTGTTTTGTGTTATTTGTTTACAAATTGTATATTCACACCTTGGATTGTGATGTTAATGCTCACATTACAGCAAGTCGACTTCCGACGGTTTAAACATTGGGTAACTGGTTTGCACCTCGTGCAATTTGTATAAGGGAGTTTACAGATACAATCTGCGCATGGGCAGATAAAGGTCATTTGTACCAAAAAGGTAAAACCCACAGAGAAGAATACTGGATATGCGCTCATGAAAGTTATGTAACATTATTCATTTATGCACCAACGGTATATTCTATGATATGCAGGTGGAAGTATTCTTTTCAAGAGGGCAAACAAAAGGTATTCATGAAGCACATCTAGGACTTTGGCAGTTATTATTCTAATATGCTCAAAGTGGAACTTCTCCATGTGTAAAAGGTCTGTGGATATTTGGGGTCATTTGTACCATGTGCTATCTGTAAACTCCCTTATTGCGATTGCGATTACCCATTCGATGTATAATGTCAAGTCAAAGAGTAGGGCGTACACTTATTCGGGATTTTATTACAAGTAATGTATGCAGGTTGGATTCCGAGTATTGTAAATCATTCATTAATAATAGGTTAACGGAATAACTAGGTCCCCAGGAAAGAAAAATCAATAAATTGGAATATGTGTCTATTCATCAGATTCAATACAACTCTGAATGCATTTCTCGTATTGATTTGTAGAGCAGTACAGTGGATTGTACGAAATGAAGTGGTTGACACTGGCGAACTGATCGGGGGGGGGGGGGGGGGAGGTTTGCACTTGCCAGTTGCCAGTTGCCCCCCCCCCCCCCCCCCCCCCCCCCCCCCCCAAAAAAAAAAGGAAAAAATAAAACGTGGTTTATATCTAATTCGATGCCCGTGATTTACAAATGTTGCTGAAATAACATGATTTTTCGGGGGTTTTCTCACTTTTTTGTCAAGTATATCATTTTTTCTTTCTTTCTGCCCCCCCCCCCCCCCGTTTTTGCTCATTACGCCAATGGAGGTTGAAAGTCAAACTCGGTCGCAAAGACATTCGGGAAATCAAATCAAGGGCAATACCATTACCCATTGTATAGCCCAAAATGAACTCTGTTCGGATTACGTCATACGTCATTGTAATGTTCCAAAATTTGAGGTGGGCGGAGAGGGACATGAAAATTATCTTGGGTTCATTTTTTGAAAGCCTTTGAGATCGTGCTCTTTGCCTACCCTCAGTACTAGTCTTTGGTTGCAAAATAATGAGGCGCCGTTAGGGCCAAAACAGTAGCAGCAGGAACAACAACCATTGATGTTAACTTTGCCATCAATGGTAACTACCATGAAAACCTTGATTTTGATTGGCTGTTGAGCCCTGTTACCATGGTAGTTGCCATTGATGGCAAAATTACCATCAATGGCAAGTTTTATGCGACGGGGCCCAGTTTGTATGTGCTCAATCCTTTTTCTGAAAAACCCATAAGATACACTATGGGCCTATTGTATTCCGCAACTCAGCTGTTACCATGTATTGTGTTTCAAGAGTCGGATTGCAGATCGTCGATCGTCTATTGCTTCAGTAATGTTGTTACAATGTTGGGCAATCGTGAGTTATTGTTACGTTTGATTAGGGTTCTCTCGAGAAGCTAGGCCTGCAAGCAAACTGAGGAAACATGTGCAGGCTTACACAAGGGCTCAAGACAATTGTCTTGAGCCCTTGTGTAAGCCTGCACATGTTTCGTCGCTGTTTTCACGAAGTGACGGTAGTGAAAAAAATTGTATTCACTTTGCGTGACGATTTTCCTCAATACCGTCACTTCGTGAAAACAGAGATCGTTATCGCCAAAAAAATGCAAGGAATTTTGTCTTCTTCTTCTTCCATCATTAGATGCACTTTATTTAATGTAAGTACATATTTTATACGTTACCACTCTCCCCACCTATGTATACGAACCAAGTTTAAAAAAACACCATGCTTTAAAGTCGTGTACATATAGAGGTGGTTGTTTTACCTGACTGCTAAGAAAGCATAAATGCTTGTTAGTAAGCAACCAGAGGACCGACGGCTTTTTAGGTCCTCTCCAAGAGACCTGGTAATGAGGATAAATGCCTTTCCAAAGGACATTAGTGCATTGCCGTGGTTTTGAACCCGGGTTCACCGGATTACGAGACCACTGCTCTTCCAACTGAGCTTACGGCATGATTGGTTTTCACGGTTCTTCATGCATTACGTGTTGCTATGTCGGACAAGCATTTAGGTTGTTAATGCATGTATGCATGAAATTTGAATAATTATGTTAGGAAACCGGTCTATTTTCTCTCTTGACCTCGGTTTATACGTTTTCTAAATTATTGATGATTCTAAGATCGTTAATGTATAGTATTGAATATGCGAATCATATGGTTTGAATGAACCATCGCGATTCATCCTGAAAGATATGTTGATTTAACATTTTGATGACGAATGAGAAGAATCGTCGTCATATGAATGATTTTGTTAGAGAATGAAAACATTCCGTACGATTAGCTGCTGTTGTATTGTTATGTCATACTATCACTAAATAGACCGATTTGCTAACATATTCAATAAGTGTGCATATCATGTTAACAAAGGTTGTCCTCGGCAACCCTAGAGCTTGTCTGAGGCTAGACAGACATAGCAAAAAGTAATGTATGCAGATTGGATTCCAAGTAGTATATTTCATTGATAACTAACTGGATAACGAGTACCTCATCACCAAGTCCGCGGCCAAACATATTGGAATATGTTAGTAAAGCGGTCTACTCAAACAGTCTGCATGCATCTAATCGAACCATCACCCGCTTCCCCACTCACTCCTGCGCT